AGATGGTTGGATGGCATTGCTGACTCGATGGACATGGGTTTGGGTGGACTCCGGGAGTTGGTGATGGACAGGGAGGCCTGGCGTGCTTCGGTTTATGGGGTCTCAAAGAGTTAGACATGACTGAGCGACTGAACTGAACTAAACTGAATGGATATACAATCACTTCCCATACTTATCCTTTTATTACATTTCAAATATTGATATATCATTACATATAATAATATGCATAGATCTTAAGTGTTGTTCAGTGAATTTTTCACTGTTGTTAACACCCATGTAACTGCTACCCAAACCAGGATATGAAAGACTTCCAGCACCCTCGAACATCCTCTCCTGTTCCTTTCTGATCGATTCTCTCATCCCAACTCCACAAATACTTTTAAAATGCAATTATCATAGATTTTGCCTTTTTAATTTTTATATAATGGAATTATGCTGTGTGTATTCTTCTCTGTCTAGTTTCTTTCACTCAGCAAACTCTTAGTGAGGTTCATTCAAGTCACTGCCTGTATCAGTGGCTCATTCCTTCTTATTAGCAAGTAGTATTCATGGTATGATTGCACCACAATTTGCCCATTCTTATCCCTGTATTTCTTAATTATAATACATAGTTATCGCTGCCTTATATGCAGTGGACACATCAAAATTGTATAGACAAAGATATTTATAAAATTACATGCAGAATAATTTGGTATTATAAATAATATCATACAAAGAGGTGGATACATTAGAAAAGATAGTTATAGTTATCACTATCAATTCTCTACAGAATGATAAAGTTATAAGCTTCCTGTGTACCACAGATAGTACACTGCATATATGATGTTTAACGTGAGAACACAAATTGCTGTGCAAAGATCATAAATGGGTTGATTCTTTAGAGAAAAAATTGAGCCCGAGGATATCATTAATGATATATAAATAAAACACAAAAAAAGCAGATTTTCTTTTATTTGTTGTGTGCATACACACATCGACAGTATCTCGTGTCATTTTAGCTGAGACAGAGAAGTCAATGGTGCTTCAAATCATAAAGGGGCTCTCAATTGTTCTCTGTAGAATATCTGATGCTTCTTTAAATCAAATCTAATTGAACATTTAGAGTTCATTACATACTAAAGAAACTTGACACAGACCTTGAAACTGTAATAATTTCTCCTATGAAAGCTTTTGCTCTTGGTGAATCTAAGATCATGTTGATTTGGATTATTTCTAGTTGTATTAATATTTCCTAAGGACTTCCTGGAATGACATTAATTTTCCCCCAGTTCTGAAATCCTGAAGCATAAATATGTCTAAATAATATTGAACTACAGCAAACAGAAATACTAAACTTATTTTTGTTATTTTCCCCAGAGGATCAAAATAATCTCAAGCCTTATATTACCTACCCTCCTACAATTTCTAATTTACAGTCTCTGTCAGTTTTGAATAATGGAAGCAGCCAATAGAGCATCTGAAGACAATTTCTTTCTACTTTGTCTTTTTTTCCCAGTAATATAAAAATCTGAAGAGGTTATTGCTTAACCTATAAAACAGAGACATTATAATTTATGAATACTAAAAAAATCCTGTTCATTTCTGTTAAACTATATAATGAACTGGAAATGGTGATTTTTCTCATGGGAAGGACATATTAAAGGAAGAGTTTCTTGTTGTCTTTAAAGACCCTTTGATCCCATTTTAGCCTTGATTGCTCTCTATAACTTTTGTTGTTGTTGTTGTTGTTTAGTCACCAAGTCATGACTCTTTGTGACCCTATGGACTGTACCCTGCCAGGCTACTCTGTCCATGGGATTTCCCAGGCAAGAACACTGGAGTGGGTTGCCATTGCCTTGTTCAGGGGATCTTCCTGACCCAGGGATCAAATCTGTCTCCTGCACTGGAAGTGGATTCTTTACTACTGAGCCACCAGGGAAGCCACTAACCTTCTGACAACTTTTCTCACCCTCTTCTTTGTTTCTACCATGTGACATCAATGAAGTGAAAATATCATCCTCATCACTACTCCCTTGTGGTATTGCCAAAGACCAGGCCCCCTTTGGACACAGATTCGAGAATTCGGTTGAGAATCTGAGCAAGGGTAAGGCTCCCCCATGCTCCTGCCACCTTCCTCCACTGGAAGCTGAAAATTGAAGTTGGCAGTTGTAATCAGACTAGAAGGATTGCAATTTATCTGGGCTGTTGTTCACTGCTACTGGTTTCACTTGTAACTTGTCTCAGCTAGGCTATTAAAAGTAAGCCTTCATTATAATAATTTATGTGCCACCATAAGCCACACTAGTTCTGAAACTCAGAAGGCCAATCTGCAGGAATATCCTATTATTTCGTTTACCTATTCCAATTTAAGGTATTGAGGAAAAGGCTAAGAATATTCTTAACTGATAACCCAGCAGAATGGTCAGCAAATAAAGCTTGTATCTAGCTATAAGTCAGTAATAAAAATAAGAGTCTCAATCAACTATCATATATATTATGGTGGTGGATCAACATATTTTTTGTAATGCACTCAAGTACTCTTAGGTTCAAGGCTAATAGTGAACCCTGTGATGGATAAAGTACTACCTGTGATCGTTGAGAGGCTCCTGAGAGTCCCTTGGACGGCAAGGAGATCAAACCAGTCAATCTCAAGGGAACTCAACCCTGAATTCTCAGTGGAAGGACTGATGCTGAAGCTGAAACTCCAGTATTTTGGTCATCTGATACGAACAGCTGACTCATTGGGAAAGTCCCTGATGCTGGGAAAGATTGAGGGCAGAAGGAGAAGAGGGCCCATCAGAGGACAAGATGGCTGGATGGCATCACCAAAGCAATGGACATGAACTTGGGCAAATTTTGGGAGACGGTGAGGGAAAGAGAGGCCTAGCGTGCTGCAGTCCACGGGGTCGCAAAGAGTCAGGCACAACTGGGCGACAAACAGCAATGATCATTAAATTTTCACATCACAAATGATTTAAACAGTTCTCCCACTTGTTTGTTTACAGGCAGTAATGAATAAAACAGATACTCTACAAGGGTTCATATTTGGTTCACCTCACTCATCCCTAACTAGATGTGTCACTCCATAATTAGTGAATAACTCCGATACTCAACTTTTTCATCTTTAAAAGAAGAACCTATAACTACAAGGTGTTTGTAAGGAGTAATAGTCAGGAAATAAAGTAGCTAGCATGTGCTTGTTACAGAATAGATACTCAGTAACTGGTAGCTAGATCATCCTTAAGAACAAATAATTAACTCCAGGTAGTCAGTTAGTTTCCTAAAAATGTTTTTCTGGGTTTACGTAGAAAAACTTGGTCATTTGGGTTGTTCTCAATTAGGCACAAGTCACGTGGGTACCTCGGTGTGGCAAGAGCTTTCATTTGTTCTCACTAAAAATCTAATGGCATAAGGGCCCCAAAGTTGACAGCGACATTTCCTCTGTCCCATTGCTCCTCTTGTGAGAGTGAGTGCTGCTTCTATTGCTTCTAGGTGGAGCACTGGGATATGCAGTTTGGTTTCTGCTTTTTAAGTTAATGCATTTGTTCCACGGATCATATTTTTCTCACTGATCCAGAAGCACTCGTGTGTCCCTAAGTCGAGTCCAGCTCTTTGCGACCCCAGGGACTGAAGCCCCTCCCTCAGGCTCCTCTGTCCATGGGATTTTCCAGGCAAGAATACTGGAGTGGGTTTTGCCATCTCCTCCTCCAGGGGATCTTCCAGACCCAGGGATTGAACCCACGTCTCCTGCATTGCAGGTGGGTTCTCTTACCACTGAGCCATCTGGGAAGCCTGATCCAGAAAGCAGGTATAAGGAAAACACTGCAGTTCATAGAATAAGAATATATTTAATACCTTCAAAGGTACCCAAGGAAGAGCTGATGACGATTAGTTTCTTATTTAAAAACAAAGCAAGGAGTTAGATCTTTCTTTCAATTAGCTGATAGCAAACAATCTAGGAGTAGCCTTTATCCTAGCATCCTGGCAACATCACTTATTTTTTTTTTAATAAAGCTCTCTGAACGCTAAAATGACCATGCCAAAGTAGATATAAATACTCCAAAGTGATGGGATCATTTCTTAGTGGTTTTACTTAAGTTTGCTCTAACTGCTACTGAGGAGAGCTATGTGGGAATAAGAATAATTGGTTTTATTGATTTGTTTGGTGACTTAGACAGGGACCAAATCTACCTTGAGCATCCTTCTTTTCTAGCACACTTGTAGGTGAGTTAAACATATCTCAAATGTGGACAGAGTTATTAAATCCTCTAGCTTCAAGCTCTATAATAATCCCCCTAGGCACGTTGGTTGTGGAGATTCCCAAAGACGGGCGGGGGCCTTTGCATAAACGATTAAAGGGGCTTTTAAAAACAAATACACGTGAGAGAGTTCCCAATTAGCCGAGGATCTCTATAAACAGTCATTTCAAAAGCAAATACCTCAATGGGAAAATGCCTTGATTTGTCAGCGGGATCGCAGAACTTTAAAAAGAGCGAGCCCAGGCCTTGGTTGGAAAATAGGGAACAATTTAACTTCTGGAAACGACTCCACAGTTTGGAGCCTAATCCACGCCTCTTTTGGATTAAATTGTCTACTAATTAAACTCAAGTGATTTAAACATTCATCACCTTGCATTGCACCTCTCAGAAAACAAAAACAAAAGCGAAAAAATCCTGGGGTTTGAAGTGGGGAAAACAGACACCACACACAGACGCGCAGATGCACGCACATCCCCCACGTGCGCACACATACACACGCACGCGCGCGCACACGCGGCCTGTCCAAAGAGCGCGGGGTTTGGGAGGCGCCCGGCCACCCTGCCGGAGTGCGCTGGCGCTGCGTCCTGCCCGGTGCGTTGGCAGTTGGCGACCCCCCTCGACTCCCCCTCCGCTGCGGGCTCCCCGTGGCCTTCGGAGGCTCGGCCAGTGGCTCCAAATGTTTTCCATATTTGTTCAGCCTCCATAACTCGCCGAGCCGGGCCGGCGCGACCCGCCCCCGCCGCCGCCGCCCCCGCAGCCGCCATGGGCAGGGAGCGGCCCGGCCGCGGCGCGCGGAGCCAAGGGGGACCGCCAGCCGCCGACGCCGCGGGGCCCGACGACATGGGGCCGAAGAGGGGCGCGGGGGCCCCCAAGGAGAGCGGGGAGGAGGAGGCCCGGACGTGCTGCGGCTGCCGGTTCCCGCTGCTGCTCGCGCTGCTGCAGCTGGCGCTGGGCATCGCCGTGACCGTGGTGGGCTTCCTCATGGCCGGCATCAGCTCCTCCCTGCTAGTCAGAGACACTCCATTTTGGGCTGGGATCATTGTAAGCATCGAGTCTGTTTTGCCTGAGCGCGTTTGCTAGACAGGAATGCCACGCCGCATGGTCGAGTTACCACTAACCCACCTGCATGCGCCCTTCCCCGGCAACAAGCCTCTAACTCGCGCCCGCTCAGGGACCGATGCCCGCCGGACCGGGACTGCCCGGGCCCGGCGCGGCGGGGCTCGTGTCCTTGTCCTGCTCGCGGCTCCGAACGCCTCCGACACTCCTGACCCTCGGGCGCTGGAGCTGGGGAGGCGAGGCCCAGGCTGCTCATTCTGGTCACGTTGAACATTCTCAGTAACAATAGCAGAGCCACTTCGGCTCTTTCCTCCCCCTAGCCCCGCGGACACCACCCTACTCCCTTCAGGACTAGCAAAAAAGTGAATAAGTTCATCTTGGGAAAGCAAGTTGGGAAAAATCCTGTGCTTGGAATGGCCCCATTGGGTAGAGTTGATTTTATTTTTTAAATCGAAGGTTCCATTAGGAAGCTTTAGAAAACAGTGGTGGAAGGCAGGAAATGCGAATACAGCAAGCACAGCCTTAATCCACTGGAGTCTAAAGTGGGATAAACCCAGGGCGCTGGCCGAGGCGGGAGTCTATTTGGGACCCAGCTAATGGATGTACTGTTCCAAGCAGAACCCCGCTCAGCTGTTGTGTTTGCACACAGCATACTTAAACTTAATTAAACGTTTTCTCTGATACGAAACGGGTGCCATTTATTGAGCACCTACTTGGGCCTGTCCTGCTAGAGGCCCTACATATTATTTCTAATCCTCACATCACTCTGGGATAGTTCTTATCCTTCCATTTCTCAACTGAGAGAACCAAGGTCATGAGTTAGCAAATCAGCCAAGTTGATACCTCTTTGCTCCAGAATACATTTGCGCTTTCCTCACTAAGCCATGCCACTCCTACATTTAGTTTGTAATTTTAATATTATATGATATTGCCTCGGAGTCACTAAAATCTCTTCCACCTGCATCATTTCATTTGGTCTATGGAGCAGTGCTTTGAGGTGGGAACTGTCATTCATCTGTGGACATGAGGAAACAGGCTAAGCGAAGTTAAATGACATTCTCAACGTCCACAGGTGAGGCATGGGAGAGCGAGGAGGGGCCAGGATCCACGTTTCTGGTTCCCGGTCTCACGTGGCATCCTCACCATAATTACTGACCAGAAGAACCGTAACTCACAAAACAACCCTCAAAATAACTTTGTATCAGGGACAGATGTTAAAAACACCTGATTAAATATGCATCGATGCCGGTATTTTCTAATTAAGAGTATATGAACTCTCAAATTCTTGCAGAGTAATTTAAAACTTTTAATTTGTGTACTCAGAAGTCCCATGAAATTATCATGATTGGAGTTTTCTAAATCAAGTGATTTTAAAAATAGCTTTTCACTAAGATATACTGGGTATTTTAGTCACTTCAGTGACTGTCAACAGACTCAGAGGGAAAATATGTCTGTTCTTTAAGGCTAGGCGAATTCATAGAAGAAAGGAATGAAACTTCTCATATGGTGGTGGTTTTGAATATTATTTGCCAATGTGTTTTCTATCCATTTTTTACTCCAACTTTAAAAAAGTCCAGTACCAAAAAAGCAGATTAGCTGGGAAAAAATTGTCTTAATGTTCAAGACTGTAGCGTACAAACCTTGCAACTGAAATTTCATGAGTGCCTGGTAGGAGCATCACATGTTCCTAGTTGCCCAGGAAGTTCCTTGGGTGTATTGCAAAGAGCGTTATCTATAGCCAGTTCTGTTTTTTTTTTCTTTCCAATTTTCCAGGTTATGATCTGGGATTCACTTGACGTTTTCTGGTAGTGGTATCTGTGCTGATGATATTTGTAGCCTTCTCTTTTCAACGGAGAGCATATGTAGCGCAGAGCAGTTAGTGGAAATGGCCTGAGACAAGTGAGGAGGGACCCTGAGGAGCCTGGCGAGGAAAAATTCAACCCAGCTGGGCCAAGGCTGCAGGCAACTTGTCCCCGTCTCCCACAGACACCATGCATTTTGTCCTTGTCAGGCTGTCTGTGGTTGGTCCTGGGGCGCTCTTCCAAGTTTTCAGGAGGAGAAAAGGCAAGGAGGCAGGATGGTAAAGTACAGAAGCAGAACTCTGCCTGGAGACGAACCTGGCCCCCCACCCCTCACCATTATTCGCTGAATAACTCTTAAGTGACTAACTCAGTTAAGGCAAGTTCCTTTAACTTCTCCAGGCTTCTGTGTCTTCATTGATGAAATCCAAATGTTAATAATAATTCCTACCTCTTAGAGTTGTCCTGAGGAATAATAGATAAGTGAATACATGTTCTTACACCTAGAGTCCTGACTTGGGGTACACACGTTCAGTGAGTGTGCGCTTTTTATTAGCAAAGCATGGAGCAGTCACTGGTAGCAGCACTCTTGGAAGTAGCAGTAGCTCTGTTTTATCTCTTAATCACGAAGAACAGTCCCTTTGGACTTGCTCCATTTCCAAGACCAGTTTGAACCCTAAAGGAGGAGGTATCAGCTCGGCCATCTCACCTTTCTCTGATCTCAGCCAAGTTACTCTTAGCAGTCTTAGCGGTATTAGTTGAGTCTGGTACTTTCTGAATGACACGACTGAGCGACTAAACTGAAAAACTGAAAATACTTTCTGAATCTCTCTGGAAGTTTCTAAAAACTAATTTGGGGGGGAGGCGGGGGGAAAGGGCCTCCTCAGGGTCATTTTTTCCTTGGGACAGGGAGTTATTCTGGCCTGGTATATCTGCCAGGGAATACTGGAAAGTTTTTCCTGTTTAGCAGACATGCTAGACCAAAGTACAGGCCAACACTCCCTGGAAATAGGGCAGAGTCAAACCTGCTTCTGGAAGGTATGCTGAATTCAAGCAGGGCACCTAGGCTGAGGCACCCTCCCCATCCACAGCTTGACCTGCATCACTCCTCTATTTCTGTTTGTATTGGTTGCCTCTGACCATGATACTTCCTTCATTTTACAAGGCTTGCTATCCCATTACTTTGGGATTTGGGTATCACCATTCCCATGATAGAATCTAGGTATACGGATAAATTCATTTAAGCAACTTCTTCGTGACCAGTATCTGGGTGACTTGAGGTATATGCAGTGAAATTCTAGTTATAAAAAAAAGACATTGGTGTTCTCTGATCTGAGATTTATGTCGAGGAATTTTAGAAAAACAACTTATTTCTTACTTACCTCTCCCTCTCACTCTCCATCAGAGAGATGACTGAAGTCTTTTTACTTCAATTACAAAAGATTCTCATAAAGGAAAGAAAAAGAATGGAGCTACTGTGGAGGCTATGTAACCTGTAAGAGTCCCATTCTTCTCTTAAATTTTTTTCTACATAGCTTGAGGGTTGCAAGTCACTTCACAGGGACAATGCAAAGTGAACCAGGGTCTTTGAGGATGCACTTGGCTAGGGGAAAGGGATCCTAGGAAACACAAGTTTGCGCAGCATTTTATTCTATTAATGTCTTGAGTAGCTGGGTTGAATAGGCATTTGAGTTTGTCGTCATTCCAGAATTATTCTTGATGAAAAGCTGTGTGGATTGAAGAAGTTTGAGAACATTGGGGCCTTTACTTCCATTTTACTTAAATTAATACGATTTTGGTTTAGGTGAAGCCTAACATGTTTGAATCTTGGCTTATTTTTCTTCACTCAGTAACATTTGTTGGGGATGTCTGCCCAGCTAGGTATTGGTTTAAAAATAATGAATCATATACTAGAACGAGATCCCCCGAGATCCTGATGGACATGTGGCCTTATCATATCTGACAGTAATGAATACTTCCAATTAAAAAATTTAACCTACACAAATATTTTTAAAGTCCATTTACCTTTCAGAGTATTTCACTTACAGTGATTTATTTGCTTTGGCATCTTAACTTTGAAGTCAATTTAAGAGCAAACTCTTGCTTCTGATCCCAATGGGGATGTTTAGTATTTGTTAGTCTCTTGGCCCTTGTAGGGAATATTCCCATGAAAAGTGGGAATTTATTCGCCTTATTGTGGTTTTAGTTTTCTTCACTCTTGCTCCATTGCTCACATACCCCACCTCCCATCCCTGTCTACCTGGAATAAAATCCCTGAGATATATACTACATGAATCACTTTATTTATTTTTTCCATTTATTTTTATTAGTTGGAGGCTAATTACTTTACATCATTGCAGTGGTTTTTGTCATACATTGAAATGAATTAGCCATGGATTTACATGTATTCCCCATCCCGGTCCCCCCTCCCACCTCCCTCTCCACCCAATCCCTCTGGGTCTTCCCAGGGAACTTCTTTTAAAATATGGATGTTGGGAACAGTATTTGCAACTGTATGAAAGCATATCTTAGAGGCATGTCCTCCTTCACATGGTTTGGATGCTGCCTCGGATCCCATTGTGTGAGATAAAACTTGGCAGGAGTAGCAGTCAGAAGCCTGAGCAAGGCAACTCACTTGATCACCCCTATAGATTTTAAAATTTATATGTGTGAACTTACATGTACAGCAATAACTAAAATACATTTTCCTTTCTGTCTTAGTCTGCCCCAGCACGTGGGGTTCTGGTGAGGAGCTCTCTTCCTAGCTTGCAGATGGCCTCTTACTTGCTATGTGCTCATGTGGTCCTTCCTTGATGCATGTATGAAGATAGAACAGGGGATCTTTCTCTTCTTCTTCTTCTAAGATCACCAGTCCTGTAGGATTAGGACCTCACCATACTTCTTTTACCCTAATTACCTCCTAAAAGCCCTATCTCCAAATACAGTCACATTGAGGATTAAGGCTTAAACATAGGAATTGGGTGGAGGGGGGCATAATTCAATCCATAGCCCTTTCAGTGAGGAATATCCACTTGTACAGCCACCTCAGTGGTTCATAAATGTGTCTTCTCATCTTTTTCATGAAGATCCTATGGCTTTCATGGAACATCTAGAAGTTTGAATATTGTGAGCCAATTAGCTGACACTTGGCAGTCTGTGAGGTGGCATGACTGAGGTTCATGCCAG